CACAAAGCTGACGTTTCGAGCGTTAGCTCTCCGTCAGAGCGAATGTTTCTAGGACACTTGTCACATATGAACCCAGAACCCATTCCATTGCGAAGTCCTCCGCTGTTTCTCATATTATTCAGCAGATCGGGCGGCGGAATCGGAACTGGCTTTTGTTTGAATCCTTACTGGAACCCAGATTTTTCTCTGTTCCACGCACTTAAAAAAATTTGTAATATTTTATTTTATGATGAAACTTAGTGGAAAGATGTGAATTTCAACGTGAAAGTGCGTCATTTTTCAGGAAAGCTTATTCAAACCAACTCCGGAGCCCGCGAACACTTATTTTACGAGGCGCCATTCGGCAGTCGAAAGACCATCAGTGTTCCGGATATTGAGAGATTGCAGTGGTCCACGTTCACTTGTGTCCTGGGTCCAACTGTTAAAGGTGTTTTCCCGCCCGGAAGTGACGTCACTGATGTCAACGCCACCTGTCGCTCTAAAGACGGAGGCTTATTGGCCAGTGGTGATGATTTTGGTCTAGTGAAGCTTTTTGAGTACCCAGTGTCGGTAATAAGTTTTTGATAAATAATTGCTTCCAGTGGTATTTTGCATTGCTTTTTTATTATTTTACGGATCAATTGAAAAGGACCAGAAGAAGTATGTGTCCATCTTGAAGTAATGCACAAATCAGGCACAACCAAAGAGATAAACAAAGGATCCTCAAAGATGAAAGTACATTTTTCAATTGAATTTTCGGCGGAAAATTGGACACTAGTGTCCTAAATCCAAAATCGGACACTGGTGTCTCAAGTCCAAAATCGGACATTTGTGTCAAAAATCCGATATTGGACACTGTTGTCTAATACCATCGCTCTCTCATTTAGATAACATATGTGGCTTCGTCTCCTATAGGAGGCAGTAGCCACAAAAATTGAACGTTTGTCTTTTTTTCAGCATCGTGGGGCACGTGGTCGGAAGTATGGAGGTCACTCCTCACACGTGACAAACGTTCGGTGGAATTATGATGACCGCGTACTTGTGTCAACCGGAGGTCTGGATACCGCCGTGCTGGTCTGGGACCGACTGGTTGTTTCAGAAGTTGATGAACCAGGTGAGAACACTTAAAGTGGTTGAAGCAAAAATGTGGGAGCAAAAATTTTGATTGTTTTTTTTGCATGTTATTTTGGTTTCTGGATCAGATATATCTGAATTTTCTTTTTTGAGCGCTTAACCCTTACCTTTTCTGCTTTAGACCTATCCTAAAATATTTCAGTCAAGGGGAAAGGTTCATGCGATTTTGGATTGGACATCGCGTGCAAAGAAAAAATGTCTCCAAATGATAGATGTTTCTTCCGCCTTTGTCTTTTAAGCTTCTCAGTTGTCAGCTGTTATCCAATGATGATGTGATTTTGTTTTATTGATACTCTTTTCACAATTGTAACTGTTGTTCACAGAAAAAACCACGGAAGAGAAGGTTCTTGTTCAACCAAAGTTTATCCCAACTGGACCCATAAAGAATCCAATTGCAAGAGGAAAACCTCAATGGGACTGAAGCACCTGGCTTGTATTTAATTCGTGGTCACTTTGTGGCTGGGTCAGTTGCTCTGCAAATTATTGAACAGTTTTAATCGAGTGTCGAGAGTACTATTCTTTACATTCTCATTTTCTTGCTTTTTTCATCGAGTTTTTATGAGCCTGTTGTCTTGCTTTTTTTTGGTCTTGATGAGCAACTGGCATTACTTTTGGTTTTACGACACTCATTCGAAATGCACTCCATTAGTGACTTGGGGGTCTTTTACCCTATGGGCGACTATTGTAATCCAGAAAGCATTGTATATCGCGTTGAATCTTTTTGGTCAGATTATGGCAGAGATCTTGCCAAATTCTGAAGACAGCTACGTGCAATAATATATTCAGTCGCAATATGTCGTATGTTTATTTAGTCTTATTTAAAACGATATTTAATTATGAGAATCATTGTCGTTTCAAAGCAAAGCGTGCTTTGAAAGCGTTGAAGAGAAACTCTTACAGTGTGGCGGAAGATCAAATTGTAACTATTCCATTTTCTGTACATTCCCTCGAGAGTTCGCTTTGGGTTTCAAGCCTTGTTTTCCCTCAACTCATTGTACATGTATTTTTCCCAGTGGATAGAAAGTGAAAGAGATACGAGACACTTTTATAACTTGCACACATTAGACAAATTCATGTAACAAGAACATCCTTACTAGTGTTCTCACTTGATATGGGTTGTTAATAAAACGTACCTTTCTTTAAAATTCACGGTCTGTGTTACTCTATTGAAGAGACTGAGAATATTTTTGTACTATGATCGAACCATTCCTCTTTTTATTACATGGTTGGTGATAATGTGATAGTAATAATTTGTCATTCCAGATTTGTACAGGCGTAAATGAGATCTTTACGAGGATGGTATTATCCCTAATTCCAAATTTCTGCGAGCATTTTTCTTTGTAAATAATTAGCTTAATTAGCTGCGCAGTTACAGTAATTACAGTTACAGTCACCACAATCGCTTATATAAAGATCGACGTGCGTTATCCTCAGAATGAAGTTTTAGACCTGACTCAAATTGAGAGCCAGCGGAGTCAAAGGGTGCGATTGGTGCGCGTTAGTAGGGTTTATCGTTAATGCTCCATATATTTCCGTTATAATTCTTCTTTCTTTTCTTTCCTTTAATATTATTTCTCCAATTCACCGGATGTCTCTTAAGTCCAAGTTTGCCACAGTGTAGCGGTATCGATAGCTGTTCCTAAATCCTGTCTAAATCGTGTGGGTTGTTGCTGGAAAATACGTGAAGTTCGTGCAAAGGTTTAAAAACTTCTGGAACGCGCATTTTCATGATGGAAAGCTCGAGAGTAGGTTTAGGACAAAAACTTTACGGTTTTAGTAGACTTTAAAAGAACATAGTGTTAGTTTAAGGATATAACCTGTACTGAACGTTGAACAGTGATTAGTACTCGTCATCAACTTTACACTGAATTATTGATTTAAATTAAAGTAAATTTACAACTGAGTGGTAGAATATTTACCGTTTCGTTAGAGAGTGAGGTAAATGTTCTGCTACTAACTATCGATATTGTGTCAATATACACTCTCGAATTGTTTTCGGCAGTTTTTGAAGAGGCAACCACGGAAAGTAAAAAGTCCATTTGACAGTTGTGCACTTATGTCGTAAAATGAGTTGTGGTTATTCATTGTGGTAAATAAAACTTCAAAGGAGAAATATAATCGTTTGTCTCATGATGTGGTTGCTTCGGATGTGGATCGCGACGTTTCGACTCCATACTGCAGTCTTCTTCAGGTGCGAGCTAATCGCACATCCGAAGCGACCACATCGTGAGACAAACGATTATAATTCTCTCTTGAAGCTGTACGTTTAGTTGCCGAGCCTTTGGTCAGGAATGGTGTTAATGCTGAGGCTGACCCTAAGTGACAGATCAAGAGACGTGAGGAAACAAATTAGCAGTACAACAAAGTAGTATGTATCATAACAAGGTCACCCTTATACCCAAAGGCATAGCAGCTTAGCAGAGAATTGTTAAAGGACCACAATATTGTGCATGAGCGTTTTTTTGTTTTTTTTTCTTTTGAGAAGTTGTTCAGTTTACGCATGCGCAAACGACGGTTGTGCTGCTGTGCTGCGCTCAATAATTTATATGAATTAATATTTTATTTACTGAGCAAAAAATATGTTCTTTGTGATTGCATGTCAATCCCCCAACCCTATACATTTGGATGAGAATTGAAATTATAGGAATTGTTAGTGCTAGCCACTGAAATAGAAAAATAATTATTGATTTAAGAAACGTATTGATGCATGTTTTGAGATCTGCGTCAGCTTGATTGATGAAAAAGGATAAAAGAGTACTTCGAGTTGATAAGAAAAATATTTCGAATGAAAAATCTCATAGAAAAACGATCTCGGAACATGAAATGGCAATTTGTACTTTTGCTTCAACTAAGTAAGTTGTACATGCGTTCGCAAACACACTCAGTCATATCTCACGATCAAAGAGGAGTCAGTGATATCGCTGATGACATAATTTTATGCTAAAAAATTAAGACTTTACTTCAAAGCGTGACGGGCCCCTAACGATTTGAACGCTGAGAAATGTCACCTGGACTTTTGTCTCTATATGTGGGCTTCTTTTTCGTTCACCTGATGCTAAAGACCGACGGTTTCTCTATTTTTCACGCTTTTAACTCCCACTGTAGCACAACTAATGTTTTATGAACACTCCTCCTCAGTTAATTTCAATTTTAAAGGTTTAATGACGCATCCGATAGAATTGAAACTGCTTACATACAGGTGCACTGACAGAAAAAATAGACAAGCCTTTCATATAATTTCCCTATCTCAATCTTAAATTTGACGCTGTGAGTTTTTTAATCCTAGAAGAATTATATGAACAATATTTAAATCATTCAAGGAAAAGGAGATTATGTAAATTTGAACCAAGTTATTTGCCATTTCAAATGTTTATTTGGTAGATTTCACAGCCAGACAATACTGTTTAATCTTTGCAACTTTCTATTAATTTTTTAGATAGAAGTCTTGCTTTAAATTAATGAGAAAAAAACATCACAGTCTCGTAAATGAGTCATCTCAGATATAATAAAATCGTTTTATTAACTGACCAGATATAATAAATCATTTTATCAGCTATCCAGGTGGTAAGAATACGTTCGTTTTATTAATTTTTATCCTTTTCCAATCAATTTAAAAAGTGATTTCTCCTCAAAATTCTCGCCTTTCTACAATTGCGTTAATTACAGTTCATAAAGAGTAAACAGGTCTCTCTCAACATAATCTATATCAGATGTCAGTCGATTACCAAAGCGCTTTTCTTGTTCTGAGATGAAAAGCTTGCTGAGAATTGTGCGTACAATTATCATCGGATCGTCGAGATGCAGTGCGTATTTACAAATATTTTCAACGAATTGGAAAAGATCAATAGGACGCTGTAACTCCTGTAAAGTGCAATCAAGGATTTTGTTTTGCAAAATATGAATCGCAGTACGACGGTACTTCTTCGCGATTTGAACGAGGAAGATAAATCTCAAGAAAATCAAGGTTTGCCTTTGTCGCTTCTCCGACAATTTTCAACCAAGGAGAGAGGAGTTGCAAGGCGTCGCCAAACCATGACGAGCATCTTGCGAAGAAGCATTTCAGATTCAGTGGAAAGAAATCTCTGTTACCGTGTTGGTTTGCATCAGGTATTAAATAATGTAATGACAAAATTGGGACACGAAAATCGATAAAGAGCTGAAAAATTTACAGCAGCGAAAAGTCGGAAAGAAGTTAGTAAGACACTGAGACATCATTTTATCCGAAGGTGTATTATTACCATTTCTCCCTGTGCGTAAATCATTCCGTGGTGTAGCCAACAGCGCCATTGGAAGATGTGAGGCTCAACTGAATACTAACGAAAATCTTACATTTTTTATGTGTGGGGAGGAAAAGTTAACATCGTTCGCTGTTATTCGTTGTATTTCAATTTCACTTGCTGCTCAAACGCTGAATCACAATTGAGTATTTGAGTATTTATTGCTGACCAGTTTCAGAAGAAATAATCAGAAGAAATCGACTCAATACTAAACTCAAAATGGATGTGACCATCAAGTCTCTGAAAAATTTTTGTAAATCTTGTTTACTAGTAATCTCAAGGAATTTTGAAAAAAAATAAAAGAGAAGTAGATATGACATGTGCGGTATCGACTTCAGCAGAATGAAATATTTTTCCATATCACATGGAATGCGCCATACAATGATAATCTAAAATTTGTATACAATGATAATCTCCGTTCTTTTGAGAATGTGTAATTGCTGTTAAGGACAACGGGTGATATCTTGGAAAAGGAATGAAAGCTTCCACCGATCTGTAAATTAATAATTAATTTTTCATGGAACAATGATTTGTAATTTGATTCAACTTTAGATGACGTTAAAATATACATTTATGTTCTATCATCGATCATCCGCTCTGATAATTTTCTCATTGGGGAAGGAGAAATCCATTATATGCTGAAATCATTTCTTGATTTTCAAAAAATATATATTTATATGTTTTAATTCGTACAGAGAAACACCACGAAACCATTGTCACCTACATTAAGCTTCGTTTGCTCACACTTTTACTAAAAAATTTTTTTCTTCCTTGACAGGCCTGTCGGGATGGTCTCATTGATATCGTTCGAGCATTACAACAGAGAGGTGTACCTACCATCAACACCTTAGACAAGGATGGGTTGGCCCCAATCCATTACGCAGCCCGTTATGACCACGAAGAGATTGTGCAGCTACTTATTGAGGGAGGTGCAGGTAATATTTCATCCGGATATTGTTTCATTTTCTCTACGATAGTTTTCCCTCGAAAAGTTCTTTTTTTGTGTGGCAAATCGTCGCCCATTACTCTCGATGACAAGGGTCTTCTTTTCAGTGTCGTCATTATATTCCGTTTCATGATAGGAAAACTTATACAGCTCATACATTATACAATACCTAACTATAAATAAGGTAAACATACCTTTTAATGTTTTAGATCTGGACATATTCTCTGGCAGTGAAAGCAAATTTACTACACCTCTTCAAATCGCAGCAAGATTTAACAGTCCTGCCACAGCTCGGTTGCTGGTACTGAATGGAGTAGATGTAGCAAAGCAGTCAAGTTATGGACAACAAGCTTTACACTATGCTGCAAGAAGAGGAAACTTAAAAGTCGTTCAGGTGGGTTTTGGAAATATCGCGAACTTTTGAACTCTAAAATTCCCTCGATCCAAGATAACATGAAAATTACCAGACAGATAACTTTATAACAATATCTCAGTTATCTACTCTGTGTGCATGTTTTAATTTAGGTTCTGCTCAGAGAAGGAAAAGCAGAGGTAAATGCAAAGGACAATGAGAATTCCACCCCACTACATGCTGCATCTCAAGAGGGAAAGCTAGATGTTGTCGAAATTCTGGTGAGGGCATTATCGCAACGCAGAAAAAGATAGGACCGCGGAGTAGCAGTCGATCGTGTATTCTGATATAATGCAATCCTTAAAAAGGGCTGGAGACGTTAACAACGAATGACTTTACGTCAACATGAACAAAGGTTATCATCCGACTTACGAGGGAAATTGTTTGTCAACGAGTGTTAACAGTCAAGTTCATTATACTGAACTGATTGGTCAGTTTTCGCCTTAATGCTATTGGCTGTAAGACTCTAGTAGCGTAAGTCAGTTGTGATAGGTCAGCTTGATCTTTTTGGTAAGGTCGGCTTGTTACCGTCTTTGGTTCATTGATTATGTTAGTGTGTTAACTGTTCTGTCCTGTTCCCTTAGCTGCAATATGGCGCTGACCCGAGTTTAAGTGATAACGACGGATACACTGCAGTGCATTTAGCAGCTAAAGATGGATACGATGATGTGTTAGAAAAACTACTTTCCACAGGTGAAAAATCGGAAATTCAAGTAGTCTGTTCCTTAATTTTGTAATTTATAGTTCATCTCGATGATTTAAAAATTTTAAAACGCCTTTGGTTCGCACAATTGAGAATTGTTGAGCCAGGATCTATTTCAAATTACACGAGCTCACAGTCAAAATATCTCAATGTTGTACGTTCATAAAATAACTGTTTCCAGAGAAGAACAAGACCTAATTTGACGCAAGTAAGGTATCATATTAGGGAAATATTACATTTTTTAAAACTGAAATTTTCCTTCAGCGAAAACCTGTGGTGTATCATGTCCAGCCATTTTGAACAAAATGGATAATGATGCCAACTCATGTCTGCATCTGGCTGTCAGACATGGCCATATTAAAGTAAGCTTGATTTACTTCTGTTTATTCGTTTGAATGATTGTAGTGTATTAGAGGTGTGATCTAGTTTCTCTTTTTTTTCTGAACAGTATTCCTTTTTTCCACTTCTTTTTCAGTCGGCAGAGGTTTGTATAAAATACGGCGCTGATACATGCGCAGTGCAGGTAAGTTGATTAATTTACAATCCCAAAAGTAGCAAATTAACATTCGACAAACGGTGACGCGATCCATTGCTTACAGAGGGACAAAGTGTTTGAAAGTGTTCGTCTATCCTAGCTTTTTAGATTTTTGTTTTCTATATAAAGAATAGATATTGCTGTCATAAAGCAACTTCTATAATCGCCAACTAATGATTTAACAAACGCTATTGAAAGATACCTAGCGCCGAGTCAAGAGAGTAGATGTATGATTACTGGTTTGGAATTCAGTCTCAATCGCAGTTCTTATTCACATAGGATGATTTGTCGTCTCCTCTTCATGTTGCCTGTGTGAATGGTTATTATGAGATTGCAAAACTTCTCCTGTTGAACGGGGCCAACATACACGATGAAGATGCAGAAGGAATGACGCCCATTTTGAGGTAAAAAGTAAACAGATGTTTAAATCATTTAGGAATTATTTCATAATCATTGCATCAATTAAAGCTGCATTTCTCCCTTGAATGTAATTATTTTTTTTTCTTTCGAAACTCGTCCCAGGGCGTCACTGACCGGAAATGTAGAAATTCTCGATCTTCTTCTCTCAGAGGTGAGTGTTTATTTCCCTCAGTGTGTGGTTGCTCTGATGGTCAGCGTGAAAAACTTTTCCCGGCACGCCTAATTACCAAATGAGCTACATGTTTTTGGAAGTTCCAACATACCTGCTACACTATTTAAGTTCTAACTACACATCTAATCTGAAATGTCTTGCGGTGCTTTTTCTCTACATAAGGGAGCTGATATTTCATCTGAAGAGAACACTTATTCCCCCTCACCACTGATGTGTGCAGTAAAGAGAGGCCATCCCAATGCAGTCAGATTTCTTTTACAAAGCGGATCACCCATTGACCTGAGAGACGTAAGTCACAGGACTTCTCTCCACGTTGCTGTTTTTAGCTCTGATGCTGAGACACTGAAAGTGATTCTTCAGGTAAATCTTGATTAACTTTGAGTGATTGTTATGATTATGACATCTGAACCCAAGGTAGACAGGATTCTTACGACTCAGAGCTGAAAAATAACAATTAAGACAACCAAGGGAAATGTATCGAGTAGGCAACTTAGACCTCTACTGCAACGGGTGGGATTATCCAAGTTTACAATATATCGTGCGTTACTTTGCTTTATATAAAAATCATAACTCTAAGAAATTCGAGTTTATATTTATTTCTAGTCATTTTTGGTTTCCACGATTTTAAATGCACACACGTGCCTGCTCAAATAGGCGTATCTGCTCTACTGCACAAACAAGACACACAAAATTACTTTTCAATTTGCTTCGAGTACATGGTTGAGTACATAAGATTCCCCTTAGGCAAAATTTTTTGTATCGAAGGATCTCCTCATGTCAGGAAAGACTCATTGAGTTAATGCAGGTGTGATGTAATTGCCCTTTCCCTTTGTTCTTGGCACTTTCACGTCAACAGTTTTATATGTATTCGCTAATGCCACATATTGTGACCGACTGCAGGCCGGGGGAGAATGTTTGTTAAACAGCAGGGACAAAAACGATCAGACACCACTCCACTATGCAGCGACTAAAGGAAGTTTACAGGTAAAACAGTTGTCTGGACACACAGGCTACAGTGCTGGAGGTACCACAGTCAGGCTTATTTACATTTCTGTCTCTTTCTCTCTTCTCTCATTTTTCTTTTCTTCAAATAGCTCATTCAAGAGCTTCTCAAAACTGGGGCCAAAGTCGACGTCAAAGATGAAGACGAAAGGATTCCACTTCATTATGCTGTGGAGTAAGTAATGCAAAATAAGCTGTAGTGTTTTTTTCTTGTAAATTCAATCGATACTTCCAGCCCCCATAACAGCAAGACACCGAACGTGTGGCCTGATGTTAAACACGTTGTACAATGGATCCCTGATTTAAGTCCTATATTCTATTCTGATTTCCATAAGGTTGAGATGAGAATATCTTATTAGACGTTTTGGTGTGTAGTGTCGCTGAGTATTTTTACGATACTACACACCAAAACTTTTAATAAGTTATTTACTATCCAACTGCTTTAATTCATGCGCATTTCTTATAAAGTGGGGAAAGCGAAGCAGATAGAGAGGCATAGCGCGCGCAGCCGACAGGTTAACCCTTCAACGACCCGAATATCCTATTGTCAATTCTCCCCTCTAGCTGCCACAGATTTCCTTGTAAACTAGTTATGAGAATTTGGTATTAAACGAGGATAACAAAAATCTACCTGATAAGTTTTAGAATTCTCATGACCTGTTTGCTGGATAACGTAGGAATATTATCGGGAGAAGTTTCATGCTTATCTCTTATGGAAATTAAAAGGTTAAGCAGTTTTTTTTATATTACAAAATAACCAACTACTCACCTAATATCTAAGGACATTTGTACTCGATACGCGCTTTATTTATACTCTACTTAGTACATTTGGATAACAAATTACTTATACAAAAGCTGCCAGAGTGCTAATTAAAGTTTTTTCATGCACAGAAATGGTGATCTTGAATGTGTTCGGGTGTTGTTGGAAGCCTGCCCAGAGTCAATTCACATAACCGACTTTTGCCTCCAAAATTGTTTGCATTTTTCTGCTTGGCACGGTCATCTTGCAGTCACAAAATATCTGTTGGATCAAGGAGCTGCTGTCGACAGCAGGTGAATGAAACGAACCGAGAGAATTTAACCATTTGCTTTATCAGGAAATTGTACTTCAAGCCAGTTTCACCGACGATATTTTGAAGAAGACATCGGTAAAATGAAACGAAACGAAGTTCTCCTAATAGTTAATACCAACTCGTTGAAAAAAATGTTCTCTGAAATCACTTTTTAAGCATACACCTTTCCTGACTTTGAAGACAATTCTCTGGTAATGAAGCGACAATTTTGTAAATTTGTAGATGTGATGAACGCCTGACTCCGCTAATTCAGTCGGCATTTTGCGGTTGTAATTTGACAACTAGCCTGTTGTTGGATCACGGAGCGAAGATTGATGCTACAGACAAGAACGGGGTACGATATTTCGGTTGGTTGTGTCGAAAACATACCACAATCTTTTTTACAGTTCAATTTCTTCTAACTGGTTTTGTGCAGACGCTCTAAGTTGTAATTTATTACTCACATTGTATGTCACACTGTAGGCCATGATTCGCTAACTATTACTTTTTCACTGACACGCTCTTGAACTTTTAACTGTGTTATTTAAAAACCATACAGTCAGTCTTTTATTAACCAAACTTTATCGCTTGGAGACCAACTTATAAAGTGTTTAAAACATATGTGATTTTCATTAAAAGATAAGATGCTCTCAACTTGAAGTCGCATTCTGAGACTTCTATTTTCTTTTTAATTCAATTTTCAGTGCACCGCTTTGATTGCTGCAGCATCTCGAGGTAGGGTGAGTGTTCTGCGGCTGCTGTTGGACCGAGGAGCGGACATTCGACTTGTAACAACTGACGGTAAAAACTGCCTGGAAACTGCAATAGCTAACGGTCACCAAGATGTCTGTATGGAAATTATCAAGCATGAGAGGTAAACTCAAAACTGTTCCGATTCAGCAATCCGACTTTCCACGCGACACAATGGACCATTTCTTCAAATCTAAAACAAGTAGCAGTTTGACCAATCATTCAGTACGCAGCAAGAAGAACTGCACAGTTAGAATTTTGCCAAAATCCTAACAGCTGTTTAACAGTCAACCAGCGGTTAAAGAGATATTCTTTAGTTAAAACCTCTTTCCGAGGCTTCACTGGTGCATAACATCCATCGTTGCCTAATTTCAGGTGGAAGGAAGCTTTTCCAGTGTGTGACAAAAGAAGCAATTTCATTCCATTAAAAAGTCTCATTGAAACGTTCCCTTCTGTGTCCAAGGTAAGAGATACAACGAACCGAAAAAACGATTTTCACCATAAAAGAAAAGTTTATTAAAAATTGGTCGTTTACTGCTCTGAATTACTGTTATCTTTTCCAGGTGGTTTTGGATAAATGCATTCAGAGCTCCCATCACTTACGAACAGATGAGGATTACTCGGTATGAATGAAAGAGCTCCTAAAGGATCAAAATTAAATGTTTCTTTCATTAGATACCTTCAGGTGTAAAGTACTCCATAAATGTACTTATTCTTGACAGAAAATTACACTGTCACAAAATGTCTCTGAAAATATAACTTAGGTGTTTGTGGTTTTTTTTTGGCAACTGAAGGCGCAAATTAACGAAATTATTTTGTTATTTATTCCTAGGTTACTTATGACTTTAAATACGTGAATCCCCATCCCTCCTTGCTTAGCGATGGACGAGTCTTCTTTGCTCCAAAGGTGATAACAACGTCAACATCAGCTGATCGAGGGCTATAGAATGGTGTTTAAATAAATAGAGTAATACTCCTACCATGCTAAAGCGACATAAGGAAACAAGATGGTGATAAAGGAGAAACTGACAGCTTGAATTACAGACGATGATTTTGATAGAGCTGAAATCAGGACTTGACGTAACAAGCCTTTCTAGGGAAAGATAGATTATTATTACCCATGACTCGCAATTAAATAAACAGAGAAGATTCCGATCTAATAAGGATTAAGACATCTAAATCTGGATTTCTGGATCTCATTACAGACAATGCTGGACTATGGAAGAGAAGAATTAATTTTTCATCCACTGATCATCGAGCTGATGCGATGTAAATGGTAAGATCGTCCAACACTTTTCTTTTATTAGCAACAGGTCCCTCTCGATCAAGAGTCTGACCCGCTGACCACTTGGTCAAGCGTCTCACACGTGACACAACTAATGAGAGAAATCTCATCTTTTCAACTGAAAAACGTCTTCTTTTAACAGGCAGCACATGGGCGTCAGGTATTTTTACATCTCTGCCGTGATTTACCTGTTTTACCTTGGAAACTTGACGCTTTACATGTTGTGCATTCAACATCTTTATTTGCTCAATTCCGCCCGACCAGTTATTCCACCCAGACAGGTACGAAACCCACTGAAACCTTTTCCAGATTTGCCGGCCTATATATATGTATATTCTTTCACGATGGATCGTTTAGAGTTGTATCACGTGTCATCTTCTTTCAGAATGTGTGTATCTTTGCTCGCATAGAGGTCTGGGAGATTTTCATTGCAGTTATGACAGCTGTTTATTTGCTGATAGAAATGCATCAAGCATTCTCGGAAGTGAGTTATTTGTTGATTCGTTTGGCTTTTTTTGTAGGTTTGCCTTTCTATGGGACTGACGACTGAAAAAAATTCAGTAAATGTAATAATTATATTAAATTTATCTCCTTTAATTTTTTTTTTTTAACGATCTCGTTCCTCTTTTCATTTGTGGCATCGCTTCTCCCATTTACCAAACGGAGAGCCCTGGGACCTGGGGAAGGTCATGGACGAGAAAAAAAATCCAGTATCGCAATTGTTATAGTAATTAGCAGGCCATCTAAAAAACTCAAGAATGTACGAGTAGTTTGTGACAGAACTCAAGTCATTTTGTTCAAAATGCAAATTTATGACAACCATGATCTGGTAATTGTTTGATTTTTCTCATCGCAGACATGGAACTACATTGAATTCAGCAACATTGCTGATATTTGCACCTTCTCAACGGCACTCATTTCCATTTTTCCTGAGCCTTTGGGTTTGGAATTTCCTGATAAATGTGTTTTCCTTGTTATTTCTGTGCTGTTTGGATATCTCGCGCTTTTACTGTATCTGCAAAGGTTGGTTAAAATGTATTACTTTTAAACCCAATATCTGTATTTACGAAGGGAAATTTGAGGGGTTTTATTCTTGAAACATTTTAGCTATTTTGCGTTACTGTTCAGAGTACTCTGAGGTATAAAGTTGTGTAGGTAAACTTAAGTTGCGAACATGAAGGCCAATGCCGTCGGTGCTGTTCTTAGTTTCAGTGACAAAAAGGGATGAGGATCGAATGTATTTTGTCCAGTTCCTCTGAAAGGTCTCTGTTACTCATCAAACCTCTGGATGGCGAGATCTGCTTTGAAAGTAAATTGTCTTGTCCAAGAAGACAGCGCAATGCCTTGGAGTGAGCCCTGTATTTTCGATCGGGAGTCCAGCGCAGTAGAAAACCATGCCGCTTGTTATGAGGTTAAACATTTCGCTAAAAACGATTGAGAAAAACCAACTATTCACGATGAGACGTTATAGCAATTAAATGGGTTCTCTTTTCTTTCAGTGTATTTGAATCTGGAATACACGTCACCATGCTTTTTGTTGTGCTGAAGACATTAGGCAAGGTTTGTGATGAATTCTGAGCTTCTTATTTGTGAAAAATAAGCCCAATTACATACAGGAGGCAGAGGTGAGCGCAGTCCGGAAGTCCTGAGTCCGTGTTTTGCTCTGACCGTAAAGTGAGTGCAAGCGAGACGTTGCATTTAAGCTTGTTAGACTTCTTTTCAGTGGAGTGCTGGCCAGTTGTCTAACTATACTCACTAAGAGCACTCCCTTTGGGAAAACAAAAACTTAGAGTTTTTCCTTTAATAGTTCTATCAATTAAATATTGTCCGATCCAGAGGAGTGTGTTAAATAACGATAAATAAAATGAATAAATAAATACATAATGAATAGAAATGGCCTCGATGCCACGTGTCTGATGTTATTTTTAGTAACAGTATTTCCGGACTATATGAAGCATTTATTGCTTGGTGAGGTGTTGTTGCTGTCTTTCTTTTCAGGTGGCAGTGATGTTCTCCATATTAATCTTTGCTTTTGCTTTGGTATTTCAAATGCTTTTATCAAAGGAAGCAAATGTAAGTGTTTATTCTTCAGTTTAATTTCGCTTTAACGCGACTGTTTCTTGTATAATTAAAAAGTATTAATACGTGCATTAAGTCTTCACTGTTATTTTATGCACGTCCTCACCTCACCCATTTTAAGTTTAACTCAGGGTGATGAATTTGATAGCTTTTCTGTTCAATTTTCTCCAAAGTCAATGTACAAAAATGGAGAAAGTAACGATTTTTCTTATCTGCTGTTTTGTCTTTAAATCATCCACCATCCATCAGTCATGATGCGTCAATCAATCAATAAACCCCTTTGCTACTTAGGATCTCTTGAAATACGAACTATTTTTGACCACTGTCCAATATCTACACTATCTACCTGGTTAAACCAGCTTTCTGTCCCATAACATGCAACCTAACTTTAAGCTGTATGGGCGATTTTCCTTCCTAACTTCCACCATCTTTTACAATGCAGGCCATAGCTCTCAACATGACAATGAATGGAACTTTGTTGGGAGATATTGATAAGGTACGTCAGGCAAAAAAACTTACAAATTTGTCTGACATTTCTTCCCTGAAAATGAACGTTTTCAATCTCATCCATTAGTTTTTGTTTTTTTGTTTGTTTGTTTGTTTGTTTGTTTTAATAGGACCCATTTCAGTCATTACATTTGTCTTTTGTGAAGGTGGTTGCCATGACAATCGGTGAAATCGAATACACCCGCTTTTTCATTGACCAGCGGCTGTTTTCGCCGACCTTAAGCCAAGCAGTATTCTTGGTATTTTGTGTCATGATGCCGATTGTACTAATGAATTTGACGGTTTGTACAAGTCCACATTCATTTTGTAATTGTTATTGGTGTTTTGCGTTGTGTTAGACTGGATGTCATGTTTGTCTGTTAATTTAGATCGAAACCATCATGACTGATTGGTTAATACGATAAGACCAAAAACTCAAGTATCACCCAATCACCATAATTCGTCTGACGATTTTCCCACGCTCCTGCGTGAACATGACAGATCCTTACCAAATTAGGTTACCGGCTTATCGCTGGCATGTTGTTTCACCTCACTCCCTTTCAGAGTCTAAATCTTTAGGTTTGATTCAAAAGCTCTGTTTGCTTTGGAGCACAATTCGTTAGTTCATGTCTCGATTTTTTTTCCAGATTGGTCTCGCTGTTGGTGATATCGATTCCATTCAGCAAAATGCCGAATTTAAACGTTTATCTATAAAGGTATGCTCTTACTAGTACTTTCCAGTCCATAATGAAATGAATTTAAATGAGCAGCCTTTCTAACTTAATTTTTGAAGGGCAAATGGCCAATAGGAGAGGACTAACATCGGTTTTCCTATTTCATTCACTAGTTAATATTTAACATTTATTTTAAAATTCTAAAATCAATAGGGTATGGTTCAGTACTTCATTTTTGGTAGCAGGGTTTACGAACAACGAGTTGCGGCTTTGACGTTTAAGGCCATATTAGCATACAGTACGTGCTAGCCTACGTAGATTGCAGTCCCTTTGTGCGCTTTGCGGCGTCGCATAAACGAACTGCAAAGTCGTAGCAGACTTAAGACGCGGTGCCCCCCGGAAAAAAGGCAGCTACGCAGACTTTGGAGCGGGGAAATACGAAACGCCCGCAAATCCTTAAGCTTATAAAGATGAATGAAGTAAGTGGACTTTGCAGCTGTTTTCCGTGATTATAATTCTATTGAGTAACGCTTCTTGCAAACTTCTTCAGATTGAAGTTATCCACGAGTTCCACGAAAAATCGCCCCTGTGGCTTCTTCATCGTTTACATCAGCCAAAGTCGGTTAAACAGCCGAACAGGAAGGCAAAAACTATACTGCAAAAAATAAAGGTTGGTGGATGTTCACGAGACGTCTCTTACTAGTTTATGTTAAAACTTGTATATTCATTGAATTTAAGATTTAACAGGAGCCCATTACCCGCAGCCTCCATACCAATTGTACCCTTGAGTCAACCCTGTCCCGTATCTTTTTATTTTAAGAACTGAGATATGTGGGATGTTCTGTAATTTCCCGTGAAAACACGCTGACGTTCGCATAACACCCTAACAAAAATGGCAGCCAAAGATTCCTTCTCTGCGTGTGACGAAAACAATAGAGGACCACAGCTCTCTTATGATTGGCTATTATGTAAACACCCGCGAAAAACCCCATGGGAGGTGCTTCTAAAAATAAAAGATACGGGAGGGTAAGTATGGAAGATGGAAGCTCCGGGTAATGGGCTTCTGGATTTATAAATGACCATAACATGCACAGTATTAACACAACCTGGAGAAGTCTTTCTGAATAACTCCGCAGGCCGAAGGTAAATTAAATTAATCAGCTAAAAGCAGCAACAACAACAACAACAACAACATAAATGTTGATAGAACAAAGGAAATCACAGTGATCTGTCTCACATCCAACATGTGACTTCATGTGAATTCATGTTTTCGATTGTTAATGTTGTTTGATTCAGGGCTTAGGGAACAGACTGGTCAGCGGAAAAAAAGCAAAATACACGGTAGAGGACGCGGAAAGAAATTTGGCTGATCATCTGACAAAGATTTTGACATCAAGAATGAAGGAACAAGATGATAGGTAACAACAACGAAAACAACAACAAAAATAACAATAACAACGACAGAACCACAATAATCAACGCAACAACTGAATTTAATTCTTCAAGGCTCTCTAAAAGTTACCTTAACACAGTTAGGTACCCTTATAGCAAAACTCTAGGACTGGTTTTAAACAATATGTTATTAGAGACTTTTGCACGATGGCGTGCGGAATCAAAACCGCAAATATTTAATTGCACAGGACATTAATTTTCAAATCCGTGTGGATTTTCCCTGCAGCTTAAAAAAAAGCTAATTAGCGAAATCCCACAGACTTAAATTGAAGGCCGATGCAACGATTCACCTAACTCATAAAATCTCTGATAGCCAATTTGAAAAAACGTTTATTTTATCTTTAGTTCAAGCTAAAAACTAATAAGGCTCAGTGCAATTATTTGCGTGATTTATTATTAAACGTAGGTCTCTGCCTTTTTATCTCAGAATCAGTGGTATAACCCTGGAAATGAAGGAACAACGAAAACTGCTCGAGTCACTGCTCCAAAGGATGCCCGGGACTGAAGCACGAAGAACTTTGAGCGACGATTAAAAAAAGGGAAAAAACATGATCATAGAACAGTCAGACAACAAGGAAAAATAAGGGTTGAACACTGACAACCGTGGGTCTTTGCTCATGGTGTGAGAGCCTAGCTATGCTATGAAAGTTAAAAGTTTCGTCAACCTTCGGCAAAAAACATCATAGTAGCCAGTCGTAGTTTTGCCTCTAGGAGCCAGGAATTTACTGGTTGATTTTAATGTTACAGATGGTCCCAGGAAAGCATGGATTTTCGCTTTTCTGACAGGGTCTCTTTCAGTGACTAAAACTAAACTGATTTATGGATTGATTAAAGGAAAATTACTATTACATGTTACTGGAGTATAGGTCGTAAAAAGGAAATGAGAATAAACAATAATGATGATTACAATAAAGGGTTTAGTGAGGTGATTACTGTTATGCGAGTCACAGTCCTTTTCCCTTTACCTGTGATCCGTTTGCATGTCAAAATCCACAAACATTCGCGCTCTTCCGAGTCACTGATGTTTCTTATACATCCTTTGAATATTAGGTTTACGTTTTCAATTTTTGACGTTTTCATTCTTCTTCATTTGGAGCATTCAACGTGTGTGTGTGACAGTCTTGCACAGTTAAGCCTTTTCTTCTTCAGTCATCTATTTGCGAGTCCCAATTGTTGCGTCACGAACATATGTCCGCGCTCTAAACTACAATTCACGTCCCCAGAGCTAATCGGCTCTCCTAACTAACGTCGCCTTGGGACGAAAACTCCCAGGTTCCTTACTTTGCTGTCTGCTTGGCATAAACCAAAGACATCTTTTCGAGTAGTTAGCGAATTTGCTCGAGCGATGGCAAAGTATGTCCCGAAGGTTTCCTATTTCTGCTGGCGCAAACAAAAATTAAGAGCGCTTAGAAAACAACTACAGGTCTGCACCAGGAAATGTTTCTTTATTTCAACCACGCATCAACACTTTTAGGTCATATCAAAGGGCTTGTAAGCTCTCATATATCCTCAAAATATGTCATAAAATATCCGGAGGACGACCTCGTGACACTACAGCTGAGTTTCTCAAACTGTCAAAGCATAATTATTTAATCAAATGCTGTTTCGCATGTCACGTCTTAGCGCATTTGTTCTATAATTCCCTAAAACAAAAACTCAATTGGCTCTTTCGAAATTCTTTGGACATCAATTATGATGCTGGCGGCGTTCCCTAGACAACCTGTGAAGGGCGGCTTAGTTTGATTGACAACCAGTCAATCATAATACGATTATTCCGTTCTTTGTAATTTGGTTTAATTGCCTTTTTATGCTATTCAATTTAATTCACCGAGTGGTCCATGATATAAGGTGCTATCAAAATACACTTGGAACATTTAGGGAAGTTCTTGCAGAATTAGAGTTTTACGGAGAAGTCCCGGAAAAGGAAATGATGTGAAGCTATGTAGAGTTGCAAAGACGACGACAGAATTCAAAAATATGAAAGTTGCTCATCCAAATCAAAGCGCAGCTGCGGCATTTTTCACCAAGTCACCAACTTCCACCGGCAGGGATCGAAGAGGTATGTAAACTTAACACTTAGGAGATATCACTTACTCCTCGAAGAAGTGACATCTTTTCAATAACAATTAACTGGCATCTTGATGATGCTCCTTAAAGTGATCCAGTTAAATTTGCAATTGGTGGAAGACCGACCAAAATAGGCTGTTGGCTTTCTTTCAAAATTTAGCGTTCGCTTAGCTTAGGAAAGCAGTTCAGTAAATTTGAAATATCGAAGCTAAGGTAATAGTGTTAATGAATGTTTTCTCTGGAGCAGCGAATCTTCTGGATGTTTATAGGCGACATTTGCAGACAGAAATGTTTTGTACTCAGTTTGCATTATTTTCAGGGTTGTTTTGAGAACAAAGATACTCGAAACGTTATATCATGCCTAAGAAGTCTGTAACCCAGGAAACAACCCCCGCGGGTATGTCGTTCCTTCAGATTCCTGGGACGTCGTCTACAGCCGAAAGCGTGTCCGAAAATTCTCGAGATGGTTCGGCAGTGTCTTCGCTGAAGTCTGCTTCGATACACTTTTCAACAACAGTACGAATGCTTGCTCCAGTTATATGGTCGCGAATACAGTCCCGGAGAGCGGTTTGTTATTGTTCTTGGGTTTTAACGTTTTATGAACAGCATTGAAATATATTTTGTGGTTTAATGTGGACTTTGGTGACTGTTACGGTTTGGATGACCCGCTTTGAGGCAGTGTGTGACGCTATGTTGTCAAAACAATCTCACAAACTGATGTTAACTGCTGAACAAGTCCACCAACAATTTATCAATCTTCCCCTTTTTTGTTCAAGTTCAAGCACGTAGTTGAGACTAGGCAGGTATTAATATTTGAAGGCGCCACAAATTTGCTTGTTTTAGTAATTACCTTGGACACGATTAGAATGTGAAGAACGATAAGCTTCTTGAGGAACGCATGATTTTTTATTCGGTTTCCACATCTTGTTTTTATTTTATTTTTTCAGAAATCAGTGGCCTTCACCACCCCTGTTTCTTTCCACACAAATGATTCTTCAAACGAGTAAGATATGATGTTTCTTTTTCGATTATGGTACGGGCATTTAAAAAGAACGTAACTTAATTCAATCAATTCATTAGTAACAAGATATTAAGAATCTAAATTGCAAAAAAAAAGTCTTTCTCCTGTCCCCTGGTGGTTTATGAGGGTTCACCCACCCTTCTCACAAGACTTGTGAGTTTTCCATGAAAGAACAAGTTTGGTTAGTTTGGTTTGATTGTTTGACAACTGACAATGCAGTCAAAGAGTGTGTCACTTGGTTTCATTTAACTGTTTGATCTACGATTGAATGACTGTTGGATAATAGCCTGAGTGGAGGGGAGAGGGGAGGTGGTGGTTTGTTAAGAATACAAATAAGTAAAGATTTTGTGAATACACCAAAAAGGAACTGGTGCTTGTTATCAGATGTGACTTTTTGTTTGGCTAATTTTGATGACTTCCCTTAGCTTTGATATCAACATGAAAGGACTTACATGTAAATCTTAAAGCACAGATTCAAATTTATCTCTTTGAAAAGGATGATGTATTTCATACAGTGGACATGCAACCATTCATAAGGAAAAATTTACCCATGCAACCATTTTCAACCAGAAGAAGATGTACAGGGTATAAGCGCAAGACAGACAAAATATGATTAAAAGCACATTTCCAGTTTAGGGGATTAAAATATTTAGTAAAGACAACCATGTTGATATCAGAAAGTTAATCAATACCTAGCTGAATCTGGAAAAATATTTGTGTGTGTGTGTGTTCTGAAAATGTGAGAGATGAAAGAGTGACACTTAAAAGGAGATGAAAAAATAATTTGTCTTATTGTCTTTTTTTAATATGAGAGGTTTTAAGTTAGTGGTGGATAAATGTAGTCCTACTTGTAATAATGAAGTTTATTATGTTTGACAATTGTGCATTGATGTGGAACATAGTCAGAGTGTCTGTAATTACATTTTGCATGTAAGATTGAAGTTTAAAAACTTGCCTTTCTGAAAAAATATTTTGTTTGGACCAGTGTTAAATTGTGACATTAAGTATTCCTTTGATTTTCCTTCAGTAATCTTTCAATTTGTTGAGTTATCTTTTGTTTTATTCATTGTTCAACTGCCCTTTGTCTTTTTTTAAGTCTCTGAAAACTATTTAATTACCTATGCAAATTTCAACAGAAGTCAATTTTGTAGTCATTCAAGTGTGACCATTGAAGTTGGTTAATACCATGGCTACCTACGCCAGACTACAAAAAGATTTTATGATACTTGAGAATGGTTTTCACACATGGTCTAATTAATGTAGAGAGGTTATTCATCAAAGTTCTGAAATTGTGTCTGAAGAACACAAGTTAGTTCTCAAAGAAACATCAGGGATATTAACAAGATCATAACATGGGATTACACATACAAACAAAACTGTTATTAAAACCGTTGGTCTAAAGAAGGAATGGGTGCAAGGTAGGAAAGATTTAAAGAAATCTTAAAGAGTTTTTGCTCAATTTTCTTACCTTTTTTAAGTTTCTTGTGAACAGCATAGTTTCATAAAGCTGAAGTTATGATGTAGATTTACAACTGATATCTATCATGGCATGCAGAGATGTTAATTATGTTTGTCAGTTATCATTATTACATAGCAGCTTCTTATATTTACTAAACAAACTTTTAAATAATTCTGAGTATTTTTGGCCTTCTCTGTGAAGGACTTGATCATTTTTTATTACCTTGGAGGCATTTAAAATGTTTAAAATGATATGAAAACTAAGGATGCAATGTTATGACACGTGTTTCTTGTCTCACTCTATTAAAATTATTTGTTTTTGAAAAATGACTTGGTTGTCAAATAGGACTCTGACTCCCCAACTTTTCCTGTGGGTACATGGTATATGGTACATGTTATTATGGTCAAGTCGTATCTATGTTAAGTCAATTGAACCTACATTAGGTTTTGGCATATTTTATATTAAATTCTTTTGTATTCCATGAGTAGAACAGGAATAGCTACAAGCAGCATCTTGTAACAACATTGTATATTCAACATTTTACTCATAACTGTTTAGCTGATAGCCTGTTCCAGTCTTTCAGCCTGCAAAACAGAGAAAAATGGTAAATGGCACAGTTCTAGCAGCATAGAAAACAGGAGGAAGGCACCTCCCTTGTTTTATCACTCCTTTGCTACTACTGCACTGTTCACTATCAGGCTTCATCTTAGTGAACTGGAACAGGCTATATAACTCTTCATCACAGTTGCTTGCATCCTATTAATTGCTCTGAAGATAAATGACAAAGAGAAATGGAAACTATTGATCATGTCCAGTTAATGTTGTAAGATTTGTTTTTGATAAGAATACACTGCTTGGTCAGCCTAACTCCACTTTGCTTTGATCAAGGGCTAATTTTCAAAACATCAGATTTTTAAAATTAGCTAAATTTGCTTGTCTGTGTTCATCAACTTATAGTTGATAGTTAACCAAGTGCTGCCCACCCCTCTTCCCCTCGCTCCTGGTTTAGAGTAATTTTTCAATTTGAGATACATTGTACACTTTGAAACATAGCAATACCAAGGGCCTGGGGCCCCTGCGGTTGGAGGAAGAATTGGACATCCAACACCTTGAGACTCTGATGTTCAAGTTTAAGACACACATTCCTGACAAGGTGGAACTCAAGAAATGGCTGACGAGGCAAGGATCAGAATACAGAGACCAGAGCAGATTTCATTCTGCAGGGTTAATGACACAGGAAGAATTTCATGAAATGCTGGCAGATTTATTAGAAGTTGAGACATGGGACAGTCATAAGGTGGCATTATTTGAGAAGGAGATAGGGACATTATTCAAAAAGGTACACAGTACTATTTGATACAAGTTG